GTAGGTCTCTGTTACGAACGTATACGACTGCGTTCAGACATTGAAAGGACATTCCAGATCACTGAGGATAGTAATCCGTCTTTTTCACTTTTCGTGTCGTAGCGTTGTCTGATCTCAAACGGGAGCCATAATCGGCACTGTGTGAATCTGGCCTCACATAGACTATTGTTCTTCATAAAGGTCGTGACATAATCACTTCACATAGTGTCTGTTACGATGTGTACAAGGCTCAGATGAATCATTGTTGTGTTGGTCTCTAGATATTAAACAGCACATCCATGTAATGAGTTTGAGAACGTGTGGGGTGGGCTAGCCCATCAGTTGATGTATCATGTTGTTACGCTAAGATTCGGTTTGATGCCCGTTTGAGTACAATGTGAACCTGGCATCTGGTGTGAGTGAGTGAGTTTGGTTTTACGCCGCTTTTAGCAATATTCCAGCAATATCACGGCGGGGGACACCAGAAATGGGCTTCACACATTGTACCCATGTCGGGAATCGAACCCGGGTCTTCGGCGTGACGAGCGAACGCTTTAACTAGGCTACCCGACCGCCCCCCTGGCATCTGGTACATGTGTACGTACCACGTCGATATGTTGCTGGAATATTGCCTTACACGACGTTTATCCGTTTTACTGACTCGGAAACAAAACGCTGCATGACAAACAGTTTAACAAAAGCGGATAATGTTTAGAATGTTAAGTTCAGTGTAGGATAGACTGACAGTGTGACTAAACGGAGACTTGAAGTGTTCAGACAGCGGTTTAATAATATGCCACGACACAGACTTCCTAGGGGTCACTCGTGGGGACAGTTGGTTGAATACCCATATATGACTTAGTTAGTGTGCCTAATATGGACTTATAGGGACATACCATTTGATATTCTGGGGGAGGAGTGGGGGTGGCTGGACGCGGTGGAGGCAGGGCTCTGCGATTTTATCGATCAGTTATTGTTCCAGAATAATCCTTGAAAGATTAATTCTGCATCGGACTGTTGAAACTTGTTTTGTCTCTCACAGAAAATTGTTGTTTATTTAAACAAATATTTGGTTTTGCAGACTTAGCTGACGTAATAACAAGTCTCCGTACAGACTCCCAGCCCCAGGTCGATACAGATCACTCACTTATAACATAAAGGGGGCGGTCGGGTAGCCTAGTGGTTAAAGCGTTCGCTCGTCACGCCTAAGACCCGGGTTCCATTCCCGACATGGGTACAATGTGTGAAGATCACTCAATCACTCAATCACTCAAACACTCACACACTCAATCACTCAAACACTCACTCAATCACTCACAACATAAAGACTTCAAGCCCGAAGCTAACGTACTACTCGTATTTAAATCTATTCCTTGAATGAACGCCAGAAAGATATGTTTTTCTTCTTCGTTGCGGCAGACGGCAAGAACCCCTTAACGACAGGGTATGCTCTTTCTGCCCAGATACGATTGAAAAATAAATAAAAATAAAAATAAATTGATTTCCTCATAGCTTGTGATATGTACACTGACCTACGACATGTTTACAGAAATGAGGTCGAATCACATCATTCCACCTTTAACAACTCGGCATTAGTTGAAAAGTTCACGAACCTCTTAAATACGCCAGACATATGTTTTTAAAAATCAAACATGTATCAAAGATGTCAACTGTTTTCTTTATTGTTTTACATGTACAATTTTATTACTCTTGTTATGTATCGTAGAACTTCTAGGAACTGATGTTATTATGTATATATATGTTACAGTCAATATGCAAAATGACGGAAATTCTCACTTTGGCAATTTACAAAAAGCCAACTTATTTCAATCATTCTACAATTATTTTTCTATTTATAATATCATAATAACGAATTCCAAACTTGTTTATGCCCTATTTCATCACCCAGTGACTGAAAATGATAGGATGAAAAGAAAACGAAAGTCAATGTATATTATATAATTTATTTTGGCTTCTAATTCCAGCCTAATGGCATAGGATGGCCTGTTCGTCTGTGGCGCTTCTGTGCAAAGGTCCGTCCCTTAGGCTTGCCAGAATCCTATGAGTATGTGTTTGAATCCTGGAGACCATCCAGATTGATTACTATTTTGTAAGAGGCGACAAACGAGATCGGTTGGTCAGGCCGAATTACGTGGATTGATGCTCATGATGTCAATCACTGGATTGTCTGGTCCAGGCTCGATTAGTTACAAACCGCCGTCATGTGGCTGGAATATTGCTGAGTGCGGCGTTAAATAAACAAATAAATAAACAAACAAACTTTGTTGACCTATGTTTTTTTCCCTATTTGACTTGCAGTATATTTTTCCGTGTTTTATTTGTCAAGCTGAACAATTGACTTGCCTTTACATGTGTTTGTGACGGTGCCACCCGTGGGGCAGGATACGCTTACCGTTTTGCGGACACCTGGTATCATCACTATTTGATAGTGATTCATAAACACATGCTAGTGATACAGTCAGGATCGTACAATCAACTCTTATGTTTCTAATGATTATGAAAAGGGTTTTGTCGCTTTTGTTGTCAACGCCATCCCCGTTGCCATTACCTTGAAATGGAAGACCGTCTACGTGGTCTAGTGGTATAGCGTCCGCCCGATCCTCGGCCGCGTCATACCAAAATATGTTAACATATGGTACTTGTTGTTACCCTGCCTGGCGCTAGGCATTAAGAGGCTAAAACAAGGACTGGTCAGTATACTGTGTCTGGGTGGTGTATGAAATCGGCATTAGTCCGGACAAGCAGCCGCCTGCCCGCCCGCCCGCCCGCCCGCCCGCCCGCTTCCTCCCCACTCCTCCCCCAGAATATCAAATGGTATGTCCCTATAAGTCCATATTAGGCACACTAACTAAGTCATATATGGGTATTCAACCAACTGTCCCCACGAGTGACCCCTAGGAAGTCTGTGTCGTGGCATATTATTAAACCGCTGTCTGAACACTTCAAGTCTCTGTTTAGTCACACTGTCAGTCTATCCTACACTGAACTTAACATTCTAAACATTATCCGCTTTTGTTAAACTGTTTGTCACGCACGCACGCATGCACGCACGCATGCACGCACGCACGCACGCACGCACGCACGCACGCAATTTCACCCAACTCCACCTTGAAATAGAAATAGTATTCATTGCTACGTTGACCTCACTGATTAGATCAGAACAATATGATTTGTTTTACCGGAAATAAATAAACTTTCAAATATGTTTCAGAAGGATACCTAAGTCTTGTAGTAAAAGCTTTGGCTCGTCCCGCCAAAGATCCCCACATGGGTATATAGCGTTAACCCATTCTTATGACCGATATCGTTTTTCCGCTGCTTTCAGTAATATCACGGTGGGGTCACAAGAAACGTGTACCCATGTTGCAGTTGGTGCAATCGAACCCTTGCGTATTCTTGTATTATGGCAGAAATGTTATCAAAACATCGACGTAAATCAAAACTTAAAAACATATGGATCGGATGGTCAACTCAGTGAGTGAGTGAGCTGGGTTTAACGCCGCTTTGAACAGTATGCCAGTTATATCACGGCGTGTCAGCTTGATGTGTGAGAAAAGCCCGAGTGATGCAGGTCTCAGAGGTTTACCACTTTGATGAAACCCACGCGCACGGGTATGATGTTGACAAACCTAGAAACATAATCGGGACGAGCAGGGATTCGAACCACGGTCATAGGTTTCTGGCGTACCCAAGGGACGCAACACTACACAACGAATTGTGGCGCCTCAGACGACTGGGCCACCCACATCCTCGCCAAGCTCAGCGACTTGGTTGATGCCGAGTCCACGTGCACCGACGGCGTGGATCGTTGCTCATAATATCAATCACTGGATTGTCTGGCCCAGACCGGCCGCCGTCATATAGCTGGAATATTGCTGACTGCGGCGTTACACAACAAACAAACACACACAAGCACTCACGTTCGCCACACACAATAAATGGCACAAGTTGGTTTCTGATAAAAATAGTTTTCTTTACTCAGTTCATAAAAAATATATATATGTACAAAACAATGTATACATACATTATATACACAATAATCTAATTACAGTGTAAATGGCATATACTAAATAGTTTTCCATAATTAACATGACACGTGTCAATAAAGTTCTCCAAACGTAACGAATATTTGTTCATAAAATATATGTTGAAAACCTCTAAAATGTATTATATTTTTAATACTTCGTAACATCTTCATAATATTTCACAAAATTCCACGTGAAGTCACGTAATAACGTAAATGCAATAACATTTCACAAAAAGTGAAGATTATGCAATAAACATGAGATACAAGTTTTCAACTAACAAAACATAATTAACATTAAAACAAACAACAACAAAAGTATGCAGATGTGATTGAAAGATATTCGTAATTGAATGTCTGTGATAATTTGATATGCTGTAAGTCATACACTTTCATTGCCTGAGCATAAGAACTAATATTTTATTTACTAGCGGAAGGGTGTTTAAAGGGGCACTGATCTAACGCAATTCCCTGGACTGGTTGTTGCCTTTGTTATGATTTTTTCCCCCAGTGAGTACCCGGATGATACGCAACGCAACTGAGCGTGACCAGAGACTGGGCTACCGTCTGCAAGAACAGCTTAATATACTTGGAGGCTGGAGGCAATATTTGTTTTAAGCATTTTTGCATAAAAACTAATTGTTTAACTGTGATCTATAAAGATTTCGACAAAGGGCGCATGTTAATTAATTTCTTCAGCCTAAACAGACAAAAAGAACGGCGGAGCTCATCGGATGTCGTCATTTGGAAATACCCCAGAAGGTTATAGTTTAATACTAAAAAAAATATCCATGCAGTGAAAGCATTTTCGGATTTCGGATTGCGTCGATAATACGATTACTACTCCCTTGTTGTCATCCACGTTTTCTCGTATAACCCTACACTTGTGTATTTGTCGTCATTCACTTGATGCTCAGTTAATGAATTTATTACAGGTACAATTAGTGGTAGCACCACTTATATTACCTGACAAAGGTTCCCATTTGGCATTTATTGTGTCTGGGGTAATTATTCAATCTAAATCCAGGTTTGAAGTGAGGTGAAATGTGTGTCATGTAATATGCACGTAGCAGCCCAGCAAGAGATGAATGATCAGTTGATTTTACTTTGACAGGTGACATTTACGAATGGAATTCTGGTTAAACATTTTTAAGCATGAAAAGTTAAATCAACGGTTCAATTCAATAATATACAAATATACAATCATATTAACATGGAATGTAATGTATTCTATTACACAAATCAGTTAGTGAAATAAAGTCTAGGAGATTTAAAGAATGTAAAATTTAAAAAAAAACACGAATGGAGAGTCGGACACAAGCATACGTGACCTGGTTTAGCAAACTGACGTTAATACGGCAATACGTTCATGAAAATATCATGAAATACACGGCAACCGGGATTTGAACCTACAATCATAAGTTTCTGGAGCGCCTAGGGGACGCAACTCGGCATAGCAGCCTGCGGCGCCTGCGACAACTGGACGACTCGCGCCCTGCGTGTGAAAGATAAATATCTCTGATTGTATATATAATGTTTAACATATTCCTATTTTCAACATCATACACGTTCTGAACACAATAGTGGTGCATGTCTATATTAAATTGTAGGAATTTGTCCACGCCGGATATGACGAATTCGGGTTAAGCGAAGTAAACGATTACAAATGACAATTATGCTAAAATCGAACTTGGATTGAGCGAACTGAAAGTACATTTGTAGTTGACGTATTTTGATACAGTTAACCTGTAACAGTTAATGTCCTATTCGAATATCTCATCAACGGATAACTAGGAGTTTTGGTTTGCCCTATTCGAGATATCGGAAGTCGACTTGTATGATAAAATACGACTTTTATACAGCTAACGGTGTCATATGACATCATGGCAGGTCACGTGACACTTGCTGCTCAATAACGCGATCTTGGCACAAGAAACAAATTATGAGTGTGTACATGTGAATATGTACAAAACATAATACGATGCATAATGCACAGAAACATTAAAAATGTAAATATGTATCGAATATACAGGAGGTAATAAATACAAAAGATTGAACACAGGCAATGGTGGACTTCCCTAGGTAAATATGATGGCGAAAAGTGTAGAACGAGTATTTATCAACTTAAAATAGCAAACTTATTTTTTTACTTCCTTAAGATTCTTGTAACATTTTAGCTAAATTTGACAACAGAAAGGGGATTTTTAATCGCAACATGCAATATCCAATAATAATAACAATAATTTTTTTTTTACAAAATGCATATTTCTTTGCGAAGAAGGTAGGCCACGTCAAGTTTTAATTTGGTCAAAAGACATTTGTTTGCATATATTAAGTTAACTGTACAACAGAAAATTTGGCACAAATAGTTTATCAAATTGAATACCTAAATTAAACATAAACCGAAGGTAAATATTTTTATATGCGCGCTTAACACAAAACTTCTACATGGTAGGCCGCTGTATAAAGGCTCATAAAGGCGCACAGAGTTCGGCAAATTGGCAGTTTTAGCAAATTTGATTCAAGTAGTTCAAAACCTACTTCGTATGCAAACTAAAATTTCATGATTTTTATCAGTCTAATAGTGACTGATTGTCTCACACATTGCACAAAATACAAAGCCGAGGCCAAGATTAATAATGTTAACGTTCTTCATAAAGTTGACTGGAAACGATTTTATCTATTTATTAATTATTTAAAATATCCATTTTCGACAGTGGTAAACCGAAATCTCCAACGCATACGGTTACTTATATCTAACAATTACAAAGGGAGTAAAATTCAACCAAACTATGACACCATTTTGATGTAGACTTTTAGGATGATATACCAAAGTAGCTCATGGGGATTTTAATTCCTGTGTGCGACAACCTGAATTGATTTGAATAAACATTCGTATTTGAAATAACTTTGATACATTAAATCTAGCTTTAGAAAGTCATATCGGAAACTAATTTAATTTAATTGATTCAACATTGAAATTACGAGGATGTTACATTTGGTAGTACCCCTAATACAGGTGAACACAGCAAAACAAAGACGATATCACATAGAATGGAAGATCTTTAGAAAGATGAGACGATGAACACTTGGTGGTCGCCCATCAAAGCACGAACGGTAATGTTTCCTTTTAAAGGAAGCCATCGATCGGTACCCAAAAGGCTGGCAGAGCTGACGTAACGCGTGACCTAATACGTCCCAATTCTGCACACGACCCCAGTGTTATATATACCTGTTAGGGTTTATGATCAAAACAAATCATTGACGCTATAATACACGTAACTGTTGGCCTCTTTGTGGGATAAATAGCATTCGGTGGTTACATGTAATGCGACTGTACAATGTCAACAGCTTATTAGAATAAATGAGATTGTATGAGTTTATGTTGAAATGACTTGGACGGATTTATGGAGATCTTAGATTTTCATGATCATTTTTGGGATCATTTAAGATGTTTTTCAATCCCTCTTTTCTAAAAAGATTTCGCCATTTCGTTCCGGTGACAACTTTAAAAATCTTTGCAACATCATAAAAAATCGTTGTTCTTAAAACACACATGAATTGCTAACGTCAACCAACAAATGACATTTTTCATAGCGTAATCAAGAAATATGAAACACACTGATTGTAGTAAATACGTCACTTATACTCAATAAGTCACAGCTTCTGATGACGCAGTTTCATAAAATGATGTCAACATGACGTCATCTATTACGGCTCATTTTTGTTCCTAAATGTGACGTGGAACATCTGCTATTTGATAAGGGCAGTGTGGTATTACTGTGCTTTGTTCACAGACATGACAGACACTCAGTTCTTCCTGTAGGGCTTTGGGACTTGGGGCCAGTTGAACTTGTAAACTAAGCGTGTGCCCTCGATCCTGGACATCAGGCCTGACTTGTAGTAGTGTCTGTGGAAGAAGGTCATACCGTTAGGGATATAGCTTATTGAACTTCTTGAATAGATTACTGTGTTGTATCTTATTCCACTGGTACATTTATCAATTTATACTACTACTGCTGGTGCAGCTGCTGCTGCTTCTTCTACTACTTTTTCTTCTACTACTTTTTATAACTCTACCCCATTTATTGCTGCGAATGTTCCCACTAACCCCACTTCTACTACTAATACGATCGCCGATCACGTCATGGCAAAAAAAGAATTTAAAAGATGGTACTTGTTGATACCCTGCCTGACGCGCGCGCACACGCACACACACATACACACCCTGCTTGACGCACGCGCACACACACCCCCACACCCCCACACACATACCCTCCCTGACGTATGAACGCGACTACCTCAACATCTGCAACTGCTATTCCTTCAACTACGACAACATCAACTCACCTAATGCCGCGGCTGAGCTTCTCGAATGTCATGTCCCTCTTGCGTTTCTTCTCCCCCCACATTCGACTCATCACGGTGGTGTCCACGAACTTGAACGTGCCCTCGCTTCTGTTGACCCACTTGGCGAGGTCCGGTCGGTTCTCCAAGACTTGCAGGATGAACTTCCACAGCAACACGTTCTTGGCCCCTGGGGAGAAAATGGCGAGTTACAGCGCAATTCATAAACGTAGCCATCGAGGCTCATACAACGCTGCGTATGCTACAACGAGCCATTTTTCAGCGTCATGTTTCTCACTCTACACGTAAGTGTGTTTGTTTGTGTGATGTTCCAGAATTGTCTGGTCCAGACATCATAAACAAATCTGGACCAGATAACCCAGTGATTGGCATCATGAGCATCGATATAAACGGTTTGGATACGATGGCATTCGTCAACCAAATGAGCGAGCCTGACCACCCGATCCCGTTAGTGGCCTCCTACAACAAGCATGGTCGTCTTTTACGGCAAGCATGTGTTGCTGAATCAATTGTAACCTGGATCCACCAGTCCTAACTGGTGCTAATAACAATGGAGACGAATGCAGAATGAACATTACATTGTGACGTATTTAGGTCACGTGTTGCCGTAGGCCGTCCAGCCTTTGGGTATCGCTCGATGAGGCATGTCACGTCGAAACATTTTATATAACATTTTTTTGAAATAACGATAATATATTGGTGAAAAGACACTCACAACCAATACGGAAATCAGTTGACTGGAAACTAACGTGATAGGATAACGGAATTTGTTTGGTTGTTGGTGAAAATGTTCACGGATAGATACGCCAGTGAAACCAGATCACGAAACTCTGCCCCGAGATCGGTTTTGTTTAAAAACAACATTTTAACTAAAATGTGTACACAGGTCATTACAAGCACCTATTTCAAATGAAAATATAATATATTTTAAATTGTGTGTTGGGAGGAAACATCACGTCAAGAAAACACTTTGTCACAAAAAATAAAACGTCAACGCCAGAGAGTAACCAATCTCGAATTCCCAACAATTCGAAATTAGTGAAAAAGTCAAAATAGCGATGAAAACACACAACAATAACGAGCGTCTAGACAAGCCACTAGAGATAACATTCTGTGATAAAACCGTATCGTTAACATACTCTTTCCTGAACGTGATGCTTGTCCCAAGATACCAACTATCGGTTAAGACAGGTAAATCTTGTCGACCAGATAACGCTAGATAGTGTAATGATGCTCACCTCGTCGGCTCTTGCAGTATGGTTTGACGTAATCCTCCTCGTCAGATTCGTCCAGACTGGCCAGTTCCGGTTTCTGTTTCGTCCAAAATTGGTCAAACGCAGGCAGAGATGGCTTGTATTCTGTAGAGGATTAATTACACATCAGTAAAGAGTGAATTGTCTTTGTTGCTTAACGGATCACTCAGCAATATCCCAGCTGTGCGACGGCGGTCAGTAAATAATCGAGTCCAGACAATCCAGTAATTGACCTCTTAGGCAGAATTTTGTTTAACGTCAAAGTAATCAATATTTGAGCTTTATCAAGACTGCATGTGTATGAACGAGTCAGGACCAAACAAACCAGTGAATGAAAGCATGAGCAACGATCAACATAATCGGGGCATGATGACACGCACCCTGAGGTGTTACAGAGCGGGACCATCTGCTTGTACTAGCCCGGGCTTATGCCGATTTTATAGTGCTGCCCCACAGATTTATCATGTCGAAGTCTAACATGGAGACCCCAGATATATCATACTGACTTATCCCTCATCCAGGGGGGCACGGGTGGCCCAGTCGTCTAAGGCGCCCCGATTCGCTGTGCAGAGTTGCGTCCCTTAGGCACTCCAGAAACCTATGATAGTGGGCTCGAATCCCGGTTCGCCCCGATTATGTTTCTAGGTTTCCCAGCACCATACCCGTGCTCGTGGGTTTCACCAAAGTGGTAATTAACGTCTGAGACCTGAATCACTTCGGGCTTTCCTCCCACATTAAGCTGACACGCCGTGACTTGAATACTGTTAAAAGCTGCGTTAAACCAAACTCACTTACTCTCTAATCCTAATCCTCCATCTCATTTCTGAGCGCCATGGAGGTTATACCTTAAAGGGAGTACCATCGAAGGAATATTGTTGCTCTGTGTCGGTTTACGTTTGTTAACATCGAATTTCAGAATCAAGATGGAAGGGAAGTTTCAGAAAGCTGATTGACTGAAGATACAACGCATCCTTCATTTTGACTTTGTTCAACTGACGCGACCTTCTATGGGGGCTGCCTCATGTCCATGAAGGGGTAATGGAGGTGGGGTGTCACAAAGCGTCGTAGTGAACTGAATGTCGAAACATATAGGCTTACCAAATCGTGAGATTGGATTGTTTATTGAAACAGGACCCAGACTGAAGTGAGTGAATATGGTTTTACACCGCCTTTATAAATCTTCCAGCGTCAATTCCCACAGATCGTCGGGACGTCAGGAGCCTTCGACATGGCGACCGCACACCCTACCACTTGTATTGATGTCAACACAAACCTAACATGTGCCTACCTGTTTGTTCGAAGGACGTTGGGCTCGGGGCACCGTCGCTGAAGCTACTGTGGATGCTAGTTTCGCCGTCACTGTTGCAGTCTGTGCCAACAATCTCGTCCAGGAACGACAAGTCCTCCAACTCCAGAACAACTGCAACAACAGCAGACATGGTCATTGAAGAATTAATGGGTGAACGTTGTGCTACATCACTGTCAGCTGCACCACGGCTGTATCTGAATAAAGAACTGGTAATTGATTATTGGGGAGGGACGGTATTGTTGGACAAAGGACATTTTACTTGTAAAAAGTAGAACTGTGTCATTTTTTCATGACCCTCGCCAAAATAGTTGTGACAAATTTACGTGACCTCCTTTTTTGGATTGATTTTCTTCATGACCCCACCCCTCCCCCCAAACCCCCCCCCCCCCCCCCCTTTTCTATGATGTATGACCTATCTTAAACACGTAGGTGTAATTTCCTACATACACCATTCAAATATTTTTGTTTCAGCTAAAAGTGCATTAAATACTTGACAAACACGTGTATCGATTGGTATCTCGACCTCATAATCAAATATTCTGTAAAGTACAGTTTATTTACCCTATACAAGGCACACAATCGGTGACCTTCCAAACGGACATTTCGATGGCTCACTTCCTCTTAAATTTAATCGCGACGGGGGACGAATGACGGACACGTCACGGATACACATAACACTGACCCCAATAAGGAAACAGTATTCGGTGAAGACAATATTGATGCGTCCTTGTCGCTTCATTAAGAGACATCATTTCTAAGACAAAGGCACGCGGACGCCGACAGCGGAAGACATCGCGAAGGAAACACTTACCACTTTGATTGTCGTCGTCGTCGTCGATTGAGACTTGGGGCATGTCGGGAAGGTCGGTCATCCATTCTGAAATTTCGGAAGGATGAGTATTTCCCAAAAAATCTGGAGATCTAGTAAAAATTGTCATTGTTAACCAGAAATATATTTAGACACGCATCTTATGACCTTGAAATGAGTTTTAGTCGCACATTTCAGACTTAACGTTTTTTAATAACTTGGTTCCCGGGCAAGCTGACCTATATTTTTTAAATTTTTACTGTTATTAGGAATAGAATTAGAATAAGTTTTACTCTAATTTCAGTATCGAGGAAAACAAATCTCAACTGCTGTAGGCCAGTTTAGAAAAGCAGGTGACCCTTTGGCTTGTCATTTTTATTTTTATATTTCATCCATTGGACATTTTCTTTATCAATCATATTAAAAAAAACATTGAAAACGAATGCTCCAAATAAATGTCAAAAGGTGTAAAAAAAAAGAAACAGGAAGTTTTATTGGTATTAATGTGCTTTGAGCAATATTCCAGCAATATCGCTTGGAGGACATTGTACCTATGTACTCATCATCTCCTTGTGAGGATAGAACCAGGGGCTTCGGCGTTACGAGCGTGCGCTTTATATAACCAATAGGCAACACCGCCATAAATACATTTAATTTACATTTCACACTATTCTACTATTATGCGTTGGTATTTTGAACAACATGAATCAACACTATAATAATAATCATCAAGACAAGCTGTTAAAAGGAATGTTAATGTCTAATAAAGTAGAATATTATCAACTTGACGGTTGCCCTAGCCTCACACATTTAAGGTCATCAGGACCCCTTGTCTGTTCTCAAGGGGATCGGGGCGGTCGGGTAGCCTAGTGGTTAAAGCGTTCACTCGTCACGCCGATGACCCGGGTTCGATTCCCCACATGGGTACAATGTTTGTCCCCGCCGTGATATTGCTGGAATATTGCTAAAAGCGGCGTAAAACCCAACTCACTCATTCTAAAGGGAGTCATAGGTGTATTGTAGAGGGTGATCATTGACCAAAAACTGGCGCAAGTGAGAATGATCGTTAAATATGCATTTTTCCTGCGTCAGGGCGAATTATGAAATTAAACGAAGAAATCAAACTACATATGATTACAAGACAGAAAGAAAAATTGAAACCAATTATTACTTCAAAAGTGCATTTTTAAATTTTGTAAGATTTGTCAGCAAATTGTTCGTAAACGGAGTGTAGAACATCATATAATTTGCCAATCAATTTAATAAAACGATTTTTATTTCTACTGTACAGGTGCTATTCATTCCCTTAGGGTTCTGACACAGGACGGTCTATATACTCGAACCACGTGGTACCGCAGCATTTGTCGTATCGCGGCATTTCTGATTTCCGGTAGTTCACGCGGGAAACGCCTCTTAGCGGCTGTCGATTAACGTAAATCAGTAACTAGTAAATGCTCGCTTCGTTAACAATTTCAATTTCCTCGGAATGTTCCCGTCTGTAGTAAGTACGGGGTTACTAACGCGGTGATGCCTACTTCTGCCTGACCCCCATCTATCACTGGACAACGATATAACCCGCAGTTTTCCAAGTAAACTTTCTCTATTGACCTGAAATAGATCATCTGCATACTCATGGTGACCAATAAAGTAACGGAAGTTACGTAGACCACACATTTTTCCTGCTCTGTGGTCAGAATCAATTAGAAGATCATAAGGGCCATAATGCCATACTTAGAAATACGTTCTTCACTAGTAGCAAAATGATAAATACATACTTTTGGCATACTAGGGGCGCTTTTTATATATTTATTGCTAACCCTTAACATTTATCCATTTTTTTGACAAATTATTGTCATTCATTTTTAAGCAATAATCTTAAAATACCATTCCTGATATTTTGTTGTTGAATTTTAAAAATATTGTTCTTACTTTTCGGTAAATATGCATTGAATACCTATTACTGATAGCAAATTCAGAGTTTTACTTGTTCTGTCTTTGCACTTTTCTGGAAAAATCACAGAAGTCTCGCATCATCATACTTAGTGGTTGGCAGAATTATGCCCTGTTTTTGTCCTATTCGGACCTGCATACACAACTTTTCCCTGTACCGCGAGGGGGGCACGAGTGGCCCAGTCGTCTAAGGCGACGCGATTCGCTGTGCAGAGTTGCGTCCCTTTGGCACGCCAGAAACCTATGATTGTGGGTTCGAATTCCGGTTCGCCCCAATTATGTTTCTAGGTTTGTCAGCACCATAACCGTGCTCGTGGGTTTCACCGAAGTGGTAAACGTCTGAGACCTGCATTACTTCGGGCTTTCCTCCCACATTAAGCTGACACGCCGTGATATAACTGGAATACTGTTAAAAGCGGCGTAAAAAAACAACTCACTCACACTGTGCCGCGATACAATGGAGTTCTCTCCCTTGTCAAACTGAGCGTTCGACCCAGCTTTAACTCGGCGCTACTTATGTTAATAATGAACTAATGTAAATAATGAACTTTTATCAGTAAGATATGTTAGATAATATAGTTAGATAAAATAAATGCCATCTGATATAGAGAACACGAATAATCATAAAGGTTAGTGGTTAGTTGGGTTCCGTTTAGCGTACATAACAAGTAATGCGCTGCCCCGAGGTTGCAGGCTGTAGGAAGTTTTCGGATGTTGCAGGAAAACATCGGCAGATACTTTTGATGGACAAAAACATACCTGCTGTCACAATGTGTCCTTATAAAACAACTCCGGTTTTCCGGTTACACAGACCAATGGAACATCAATCATGAAAAATATAGACCGGTCTGGCTATTGAGAGGCGGCTGTCAGGACACGTGACCTACATACAAATAATAAGTAGGCTTTCCTAACAACCAATCAACTTGCTCGGCGAATGTGGAAGGCTTCCCTTGGCATTGTAATACGTTATGGCTATTCAAAAAAACATAAAAGGCTTTTTAGTTTGTGTGTTAGTTATTGTCAAGATTCTTTAACAGATTAACAATGAGGAATAATTCTCAGTGTCAAATCTTAGGAAGGCTATCAGAAATGTCGTATGACAGGTGTGTTTCAGTTGAACATCCTGACAGCTGACATCCGTACGGATTGTCAACGCCATTGGGTAATGTTGGAAAGTCTATGGATAAATGTAAATGAACTCTAAGATCAAGTTGACATTTATTTGTTCGACTCTACACTACAAATTGATGTTAGCAGGAGACGCGACGCTAAAAGTGCTTAAAAGAATCCGGATCGTGTTTTTCTTTTAATATAAACTAAAGTCAAAGTAAACATGTAAGGGTATCTGATAGATCTAAAGTTGAATGTTTTCTTCACTGATTTAATTTGAAAGATAACCCTTATATTTACGGTGTTCAAATAAAATGATTAAACATACCACTGATGTATCGCTCCTCGCTTGTCGCTAGAATTGTGTAGGTAGGGTGCATTTGATAATCGGTCATCTCGGCGTAGCCGGAGCCCAGTCCAGACTCCACGCATCCGCCGCCAGGCTGCATCGACTCTGAAGGCATAATGATTATATTTAGTTGAACCGGTCGATTTTAATGCCTTTTCAAGCTTGGGACACGGTGATTAGATTAGACGTATAAATATGCACTGTTATCCCAACGCTAATGATTACCATAGGAATTTTCCTTATACATTTAATCATGCTGATTAATTGACATTTATGTAGATTTTATACGTTATGTTTTATACAAATTCACATTTTATAGAATGTTTCATTTGAATAGATACTGTTATCACCCTAATGTCTTTCCTTATCCTGAAAATAGTCTTACATGCCCCGCCGTATAATCAATTAAAGCGTTTTCGCATGATAAACGTATTTACTCTGGTTTCGGTTATCAATTCCCGGGAAATCAATGTGACATCGACAACTACAGACCACTGTGATGTTACAACAAACCACTGTGATATAACTACAGACCACTATGATGTAACTACAGACCACTGTGATGTAACTACAGACCACTGTGATGTAACTACAGACCACTGTGATGTAACAACAAACCACTGTGATATAACTACAGACCACTGTGATGTAACAACAAACCACTGTGATATAACTACAGACCACTATGATGTAACTACAGACCACTGTGATGTAACAACAAACCACTGTGATATAACTACAGACCACTATGATGTAACTACAGACCACTATGATGTAACTACATACCACTATGATGTAACTACAGACCGCTGTGATATAACTACAGACCGCTGTCATGTAACTACAGACCACTGTGATGTAACAACAAACAACTGTGATGTAACAACAGACCACTATGATGTAACTACAGACCACTGTGATGTAACTACAGACCACTGTGATGTAACTACAGACCAATGTGATGTAACAACAAACCACTGTGATATAACTACAGACCACTTTGATGTAACTACAGACCACTATGATGTAACTACAGACCACTGTGATATAACTACAGACCACTATGATGTAACTACAGACCACTATGATGTAACTACAGACCACTATGATATAACTACAGACCACTGTGATGTAACTACAGATCGCTGTGATGTAACTACAGACCACTGTGATGTAACTACAGACCGCTGTGATATAACTACAGACCACTGTGATGTAACAACAAACCACTGTGATATAACTACAGACCACTATGATGTAACTACAGACCACTATGATGTAACTACAGACCACTATGATGTAACTACAGACTGCTGTGATATAACTACAGACCGCTGTCATGTAACTACAGACCACTGTGATGTAACAACAAACCACTGTGATGTAACTACAGACCCGCCGTGATATAACTGATATTGAGAACTACAGTTCGCTATGATATAATTTATATTAAGGACTACTGGTCGCCGTGATATAGCTAGTACTGCTGACAACGTTCCGCAGTGATATAACTGATATTGGGGACAACAGTCCGCTCTGATGTAACGATACTACTGACTACAGTTCACCGTGATATAACTGATACTACTGACTACAGTTCACCGTGATATAACTGATACTACTGACTACAGTTCACCGTGATATAACTGATACTGCTGAGTACAGTCCTCCGTAATATATCTGAGATTGTTGACTTCAATCCACCTTTATATATCTGATATTGCTGACTACTCTCCTCCGTGATAGAACTGATATTGCTAACTACAGTCCTCCGTGATATAACTGATACTGCTGACTACAGTCCTCCGTGATATAACTGAGATTGTTGACTTCAATCCACCTTGATATATCTGATATTGCTAACTACAGTTCTCCGTGATATATCTGATATTGCTGACTACACTCCTCCGATATATAACTGATACTGCTGACTACAGACCTCCGCGATATAACTGATACTGCTGACTACAGACCTCCGCGATATAACTGATACTGCTGACTACAGTTCTCCGTGATATAACTGATACTGCTGACTACAGTCCTCCGATATATAACTGATACTGCTGACTCCAGACCTCCGTGATATAACTGATACTGCTGACTACAGTCCTCCGTGATATAACTGATACTGCTGACTACAGTTCTCCGTGATATAACTGATACTGCTGACTAAAGTTCTCCGTGATATAACTGATATTGATGACTTCAGCCCACCGTGATTTAACTAGTTTTGCGGGATATAGCTGTGGTTTACTTAACTTAAAGATTATGCCTGTAGGCCGCCTAGATGAACGCTGTTATGATGTAGCAAAACTTCGCGGATAACCAAAGAAGTATTATCCGCACGCTGTGATATATACTACTCAATAGAAGTTAAGGAGCACCCGATTCTTTCATAATACTATATCTGTCATGGTATTACAGATTAACTATAGTAATGGAGTGGTCCTTAACCTCTTTTGAGTTGTATAGTTATATGGATAGTTGATGGTAAGTGACAGTCAGTCGGAAAATATCGGATACCTCTGATTGCTGCTGCAAGATCCTCTAACGTTGCCTCAGTGTCGTTTATCATTGTCGGCATGTGACTCTGGTAGTGGCCGAATGTCTGGCTAAACTCGGGTAGAGCTGTGTGCGGGTACTGGCAACAGAAATAAAGTCATTAACAAACACGCCAAGGTTCATCATTATTATAATATATTACAAATAATAGAGAACTGAAGTGTTTATACACAGAAGTTTCAAATAATATTTGTTTGTTAGTTTGTTGTTTAACGCCGCACTCATCAGTATTCTAATTGTTTGACGACGGTCTGTAAATAATCGATTCTAGACCTGACAATCCAGTGATTGACATCACGAGCATCGATCTACGCTTTTGTGTTTGTTTGTTGTTTAACGCCGCACTCAGCAATATTCCAGCTATATGATGACGGTCTGTAAATAATCGAGTCTGGACCAGCCAGTCCAGTGATTGACATCATGAGCATCTATCTATCCACGCAATTGGGATACGATGACATGCATCAACCAAGTCAGCGAGCCTGACCACCCGATCCCCCTAGTCGCCTCTTACGGCAAGCATGGGTTGCTGAAGACCATTTCTAACCCGGATCTTCACAGGTATCGATCCGCGCAATTAGCATACGATGACATGCATCAACCAAGTGAGCGGGCCTGACCACCCGATCCCGTTAGTCGCCTCTTACGGCAAGCATGGGTTGCTGAAGACCAGTTCTAACCCGGATCTTCACGGGTATCGACCCACGCAATTAGGATACGAGACATGCATCAACCAAGTGAGCGGGCCTGACCACCCGTTTCTGTTAGTCGCACACAGCGTATCAAATTAACACACAGAGACATAAATAAACACCCACTGTAGAATCCATGATTCAAACTTCCCAACCTGGCAGGTCAACCGTGACACGCCAACTGATTAAATCACATGACTACTCATATGTTTCCCTTGGATTGGATTCAGAAAAAGGCAATGTTCTGATTCATTCTTAGTTAGAATCGACTTTTCAACCGGATGTCCCTATGTCCGATCTGTACAATATGGGGTAAAGGTTATGCAGCTCACTGTATGGCATAGAGGGGTTGGATGAGGTATGGCGGATGCACGTTGCATGCTAATAATAGGCAGTATTGGGAAATAGCAGCTCATTTATCGCCGTGTGCAACACCGAGTCATACTAAATTCAATTACAGTAGGTGATATTCTCTAAAAATGAGCTTTTCGCATTCTACCCATGTGGGGAATCGAACATGTTGGGGCGTGACGGGCGAACACTTTAACCACTGGGCTACGCAACCGCCCCTATTAACTTTGAGTTAACATGTGTAAAGTTTACTGCTTATTCATTTAACGCTACTGTATCGAAAACGGGATCCACGGGGCATACTGACGAATCCTAATGGTTAAAGCGTTCGCTCGTCTCGCCGAAGGCCCGGGTTCGATTCCCACATGGGTACACTGTGTGAGGCCCATTTAGACTGACGAACCGAGGTCTGGACCAATCCATGGCATCTAGCGTCAAGAAATGTTTGAGTGAATATTGTTTTACGCAGCTTGTATTAATTTTCCAGCAATATCACGTCGCGGGACACCATCAGTGCGCTTGTGCCCATGTGGGGAATCGAACCCGGACCTTAGGCGTGATGAGCAAACGTTTAACTACGAGACTACACCACCGCCCCATAAATGTTTCAATACGGTTATTGTTATTTTTTTATGAAATAGTCCAGTCTTAATAAGGCGACACATTGGTTTGTTTGTTTGATGTCTGTCTGTTTGTTGCTTAACGTCGCAATCAGTGATGTTACAGCTATATCACGACAGTCTGGCCGCCCATTTTGTCACCTAAAGCATACATTACTGGTTACTAATTCTATCCGAAATCTCAGGGCAAAACAACGGTCACTAAAGCGACGACAGGCTTTTAGTAGCCATAGTCTAATAGTCGGCTCTTATGGGGAACAGGGGACTTATGCTGCTTATGAGTGAGTGAGTGAGTATGGTTTTACGCCACTTTTAACAATATTCCAGCAATATCACGGCGGGGGACACCAGAAATGGGCTTCACACATTGTACCTATGTCGGGAATCGAACCCGGGACTTTGGCGTGACAAGCGAACGCTTTAACCATTAGGCTACCCGACCGTCCATACGCTGCTTATGAATCCCCATATTGTTGAATCAAACGTTCCACACCTGGACCCCGTCAATCAAGAAGAGGCTAAATTGGGGACCCTATGTCGGGTTAGAAAGGTCCCCAGCAAGCTATGCTGGTCGAAAGAGAGACTGAATGAATCGGGTGGTCAGGTTCAGTGATTTGGTTTAAAGCGTGTCATCGAATCCTGACGACGTGTATCGTTGCTCATAGTATCAATCACTGGATTGTCTGGCCCAGATTTACTTCCACGCCGCGTGTGTGCTGTGTTTTTAACGCCGCGTTCAGCAATGTTCCAGCTGCATACGGGCTGTAACTGAGTCCGGACCAGACAATCCACTGATTGACACCATGGGCTTTAATATACGCATATCACATGCGCAAACCAAGTCAGCGAGCCTGAACACCAGATCCAGTTCGTGGCCACCATGAGTTGCTTAAGTTTAATTCTGACCCGGATGTTGACGGGTTAACGTTCAAGTGAAGCGGTACAAATAGATCACGAGGACGTTGTTTAAATAGGTTACCCATATAAAAAATCTCATATTCTTTCTCAGTAAAAACCATTAGACAGACCCGCAATTCGCTGTGATATAACTGGAATACTGTTCAAAGCGGCGTTCAACCAGACGTTAAATAGCTCTACAAAATGATAAAAAATATTCATAATGTATACTTACAGAGGCTGTTAGCGCTGCCATCATGAGATCTTATGTGTAACTGAAAAAAAACAAATATAAAATCATAAATTGGCAAGACACGTGTTCACATACCAGACAGACCTAACAAACGTGTGTCACGAGAAGATTTCGCCCTTAAGATTCTAAAAAAACACAGTTCAGCGGAGGAACATTCAGCGGAGGAACATTCACCGATTGGAACCAATATTGTTAATTATTCACTGAGTTTCTTACTTTTCGTGACGGCTTGGCGTCTTTGTCTGTCTGGATATACATGCACACCGCTCTAGCGACAATCTAATATTGATGTAGGTCAGACGATTACTGTGAAGCGGGATTTTCTTACATGGGATTTCCGAATCTAAATATAACTTCCTTTATGAGGCTGAACGTGGGAGTATGATGGGGTTTTCGGGAGACGGTGTTTCTCAGAACAAGATCAGATCAACAACTCGCCGGGGCGCATTGTCGGGGTATATAATACATTCAAGGGCATAAGATAAGAAGTTGGGTGAAGTAAAGGTTGCATAATGGATTTAGTCACGCGGTCTCTGCTGACGGGCTGCACCTGACAGCTAGTGAGTATTCGCGGGAAAACCAAGACAAATTACATACCACACATGTATCAACGCCTTTAAAACAATACACGATTTTATGTATAGAGATATATCTCAAATGGAATGAACTGTGTGTGTGTTTGGGAGAGAGAGAGAGAGAGAGAGAGAGAGAGAGAGAGAGAGAGAGAGAGAGAGAGAGAGAGAGAGAGAGAGAGAGAGAGAGAGAGAGAGCACGTTCTACACACAAGGGATACTACAAGTATATTAGCAGCGGAAACAATAGAGAGTTAAACATGGCAATAACAAATAGCATCTCTGATGTGTCCAGTTCTCGTACGTCCGCTTTTGGCAGTTTTCAGTTAGTAGCATATCGAGGCGTGTCAACTTAATTTTGACACTTTTTATCATTCATCGTAACAAACTGTACAGAGACAGGTTTTTCCCGAACACTTGAAGTATAATCAATCATATATGGTTGAGAGGTGTCCATGTATTGACATACCAGAGGCCATATACCGGCTCTGGACATACTAATTCCCCGGAAACTGCTTAGAAATATGACCGCACCTTTAATGCTAAACCTGGCCACAAATACTGCTATCACTTTTGAATAAGGTTGACTATACATGAGTTTAAGTGAACTCATCTGGGGCTGAGCCACCGGATATCCTGCTACTAATATATATATACACCATGAGGGTCCTTGGGTTTTTTTATAACCTGGAGAATTGAACAGGGATTTCTATATTTGCTGGAGTCAGACATTTATATTCTATATATAGGTCCCAAGCAGCCCACCCCACTAGCAATATAATACCAGCATAAGTCCGTTATAGTACCACACACACACACACACACACACACACACACACACACACACACACACACACACACACACACACACACACACACCCCGCGCGCGCGCACACACACACACACACCTAAACCCCCGCGCGCGCGCATACATACACATCGCTTTATAAGTGCAATAATCTTGAAGACGACGTTGAACACCATTTCACCTCACTTCATTTGATACTCGTGTAGTTTTAATTTTTTGCAATACACATTCATGAATTTCAATGATTAATATAATGGGGTGACTGTTGTAAAATACAACCGCATCTAATACAGGAAACTACACATGCTGGCCGGTGTATGTCTCGTGACGATAAGCGGGGCTCCACGCAAAGTTCATGGTCTACATAAATTCCTGGGATGACATATCCGGCAATGTCTCCTTTCCGTGCTAGCAGTTACCCTAGGAGCACCCAGATAATGGGGGACCCACTTCCTGATTCAAGCCGTGCACTCCATTTCAGACGCCGTGACACACAATACCGCGTCTTAAACGTCCCCCAAACAAGACAACCCACGCTACAAGCCCGTACTATCTGCCTGTCGTTTTACAACGATTTGAGTGCACCCTGACCCTGTCGTCTAAAGGCGCCACAATTCGCTGTGCAGAGTTGCGTTCCGTTACATGCCAGAAACCAGATCGTGGGTTCGAATCTTAGATTCTGCTTCTAGCTCTGTCAGCACGTGCTTGTGGGTCTCACTAAAGTGCTAAACGTTCAAGACCTGCGTGAAGCTGAAACGCCGTGATGCAAATTGAATACTGATCAAAGAGGCATAAACCAAACTCACGCTATGATGACTGTCGGTGTTTATGTCACAGACGCTCGTAAACGGACACAACAAGCATTTTTCTTCCGTAGAGAGGAAGCTATATACTCTAGTCGTACAGAGAACCGTATTTCTATCTGACATTTAAGTTGCATGCTTTAGATACAGACGCTTTGCCTACAACTGTAGGAAGGTTGACTCTTAACGTATTACAATTATATTCAGGTTGACTCTTAACGTATTGCAATTGTATTAAGGTTGACTCCTAACGTATTAAAGTTGTATTAAGGTTTACTCTTAACGTATTGCAATTGTATTAAGGTTGATTCTTAACGTATTACAATTGTATTAAGGTTGACTCTTAACGTATTACAACTGTATGAAGGTTGACTCTTAACGCATTACAATTGTATGAAGGTTGACTCTTAACGTATTACAACTGTATGAAGGTTGACTCTTAACGTATTACAACTGTATGAAGGTTGACTCTTAACGTAAACAAATTGTATGAAGGTTGACTCTTAACGCATTACAATTGTATTAAGGTTGACTCTTAACGCATTACAATTGTATTAAGGTTGACTCTTAAAGTATCACAATTGTATGAAGGTTGGCTCTTAACGCATTACAATTGTATGAAGGTTGACTCTTAACGCATTACAATTCTTTTAAGGTTGACTCTTAACGTATTACAATTGTATTAAGGTTGACTCTTAACGTATTACCGAGAATGTCTCCGCCGTCAGCGTTTATTGAAGATTTTCCAAATACAGATCTTCAGCAAACTCTTGAATATAAAGGTTGTTTTCAGCTCAAACAGTGTAAACGTGCCGGACTGGGGTAAGTCTCTACCCGGTACTTGTATTATCGGCAAGTCGGGTGACCCTAGTGGGTATTGATTTACGATTTGATAACATTTCGTCAACACAATCTTGTTGAGCAGGTGATGTGTCACCCGTACCTCTGATTGTTGGTTGCAACAAGTTACAGGAGTCAATAGTTGCCTACCCCAACCCCAACCCCAACCCCAACCCCAACCCCAACCACGCCTTAGCTAACATGCATTATATAGATGCAGATACTTTATAAAGGTTCAGATTACTATCGGATAGCAAGAGCAAGGGTCAGACGCGATCCAGTTACCACTCCTAGCAATATCTGTTAAGCGGCACTTTACAAGGTGTAATATTAACGGAGACAACTTCTTTATCCTGTCAATGCGGTGTTTCAGTACAGACAGTAGTAGTTACTTAAGGAAGGTTCCAGCATCTGTACTTGAAACGTCACACTGGAACAGTAAATAAACCAAATGCCTTTTCGTCACAACAGCCGTCTACTTTGTTTATTACTAGCCTTATTATATTTCTTTAATCTAGCAATTATTGTCATAAATACACAGAGACAATATAACGGTATAAAGGATCTAATTACAACATCTAGGTCTGAACTGGATATTGGCACTGCACCTCGTTAACCAAACAGCAATGAATGCAGGTTACTAATCATTATTGATTTAAAGATGCTAAATAGAAAACAAGCCAAAATGTTCGTACCCAAATATGATCAAATCCCTCTTATCACCGCGATAATGTCACGAGCCAAACTGACTTGCCCCATCAACTATGATTGCGTTATCTCAAAGTCTTTGTTTACACACACTAGCCCGAGAACACATAACAGTATTACTTAAGGCATAGATAACACGCGTGCAGCTCGTGTAATCGCTGTCCTGCTTGCTGTTTTGTCATCTGCATATAACAGTCACGATGATAAAATTATGACAGAAAAATTGCTTTTGATATTTTGTTCATAAATAGGTATTGCAATCACGTATTAAGGGTATTGTTTTGTTTTGAAAAGATTCTGACATATATCACCGAAACCAGCTGTCTAACATAAACCGCAAAGATGTACAGCGTCATATTGACGGTTGTGTTGCACGTGCTATATTTTCCCAAATTACCGTTTTAAATCAATACTTCAACTAACCTGTTCTTTCCACAATGTTAGACCTGATTATTGTTAGATGTTATTTAAAGACAAACTTATAAATGAAAAAAGGGTTATTAAATGTCAGAGGGGATTGTATTTTTTGCGGAAGGTAGAGCACGTCAGTACAATCTCTCAGCCATATGTATTTGCATGTATTGCTTCAATTGCAAATCTTAAAAGCTTTTTTGTTTTGTTAAAAAACATACTTGTTTTATGATGAGCTCCAGTACATAGGAATTTAACTGTACTCAGTTTCAATTTAATACTTAAATGTCTTTTATCTAAAAGCATATATGATAAATGAATATGCACTTATGCAAGTCATAAAAACACAAGAAATAACAATGATCGATAATTGAGTTTACCAAATAAAACACACATTCAGACACAACTCGACGCTCATAAAAGACTTTAAGTCCAATTTTCGACTCACCTGTATTGTAGCGTGGGGGCGAGGTGGAGAGATCTGTTAGACTGAGCATTCACGTCTATCGCGTTCAGTGTTGTGATGCGAGACAAGCTCGGTTTCTCCGAGAATACTAAACGTTTTTCGAAGAGGATTTATTTATATATATCATCATGAGGCTGCGCATGCGCGTTGTATCACTGAATTATGCCCCCTGAATTGCATTACAAACAAGGTCACATCAGCATGCTTGAATGAGTCGTTCACATGGAATGCAATACCACTAAAGCGCGCTCTAACAGCGCAATATTTACAATTGTATGCGCCTGCAGATTCGGGGAAGCCAACAGTAGGTCGAGAGGACGGGAGAGGTGTATAGATAGGGTGGGGTCTTTAAATTTGGGAGGAGCTTGCGGGGTCAGTTTGAATATTTTTGACATCTTTGGTGAAACTGGTCGCCGTAGTTTCTTTGTATTTAGAACTTTTTGTTTTATTTATGTAACGGAATGTGAAGCGATTGCGCAAAGGACCATTTCTAAAGCAAGACTAGTACTTTTAGAACCGTCATCAACTTTGTGTATCCTTCGTATGTAATTTGACGAGGGTACCCACCCCACTCCATCCTTTTTGGCGTGTACTAAACATGTTAAAGTGTAAAAAAACACATATATGAATCATTTGGTAACATGTTTTCAATAAAATAACCAGTTTACTTAAAATGACTAATAAACTCAAATTTATTCCCGAACTAATTATTACACCTATTAAAAACACTCGTCTGTCACGTTCACTGCTATGATCCTTGCTGACACAACGGGACAAGATCGGTTTCTCCGAGAATCAACACGCCCATCACGTGCATCCTCCCCTTTTCCAAATAACTGTGCATCCGTCTATCATGTTCACCGTTATGATGCTTCGTGACCGCCTCCGTGGTCTAGTGGTAGAGCGTCCGCCCGGAGAGCGGAGGGTCCGGGGTTCGATCCCCAGCCGCGTCATACCAAAAGACGTTGAAAGATGGTACTTGTTGTTACCCTGTCTGGCGCTCGGCATTAAGGTGATAAAACAAGAACTGGTCTTTTGAGTTGGTGTTCATGTTAAACTGCGGTATCTCATTGGGCTAGCAATATAATACCAGCATAAGTCCGTTATAGAAACACACACACACACACCCCTAAATCCCCCCCCCCCCCCCCCCCCCCCGCGCGCGCACACACACACACACACCTAAACCCCCGTGCACGCACATACATACACGTCGCTTTATAAGGGCAATAATCTTGAAGACGACGTTAAACACCATTTCACCTCACAAGTGACAAGGACTGGTCGGCTCGGAGTCAGTATACTGTGTCTGAGTGGGGTATTCATGTTAAACTGCGGCATGATATCTTAGTGAGCTAGCACTATAAATCGGCATCAGTCCGGACTAGTACAAGCCACACACATACACGTGCATGCACGTCGCTATATAAGTGCAATAATCTTGGACGCGACGTTAAACCCCATTTCACCTCACCTCACCTATGATGCTTCATCACGCCCACCCCCCAACACACCGTGCTTGGATAGCCACTCACTGCAATGTGTTAGGTTAACGGCTTGATGCGGGGATTGGCTACAACTGGTGCCCTGTGTTTGATTCTGGATATTCTTTTAACATCGCAAGATCTAAGTGAATCCCCGCTTTTACATTGTTTCAAAGAAAGTATCAAGGACCTTTTTTGGCCAACATGACAATAACAAAGACAATCTTCCCGTTTCCATTTTGAATAATATATAGCTTTTTTAGTGTCAGTATAAGGAAAATGTCCTTTGCCCAAGGGACACACGGGTGGCCCAGTCGTCTAAGGCGCCGCGATTCGCGGTGCTGAGTTGCGTCCCTTGGGCACGCCAGAAACCCATGTTTGTGGGTTTGAATCCCAGTTCGCCCCGATTAGGGTTCCAAGTTTGTCAGCACCATACCCGTGCTCGTGGGTTTCACCAAACTGGTAAACGTCTGAGACCTACATCACTTCGGGCTTTCCTACCACATTAAGCTGACACGCCTCGATCATTTACAGACCGCCGTCATATAGCTTGAATATTGCTGAAAACGGCGCAAACCCATTCTGACTCACCATTTGTATTGAAGGGGTGTGGTTTTAGCAATGTTTATATGATATGCTTCTCGGTAAAAAAATTATCCACACCTTGGAATAGGATTATCTGCGTTAATTCCAAACAAAATGGAGAGGGAGAAATTCAGAACCTAATTTTACTGCTATAGTTATGGTTTATATCCAAGTACCAAGTGTACGCGAAATGGGTGAGCTAGAACATAAACAGGTAGCACCAGGTGTTCGCGATGCGGGTCAGCTAGACCTTACACCTGGAGCATCGGGTGTTCGCAATGCGGGCGAGCTGGACCTTACACCGGGAGCATCGGGTGTTCGCAATGCGGGCGAGCTAGACCTTACACCGGGAGCACCGGGTGTTCGCAATGCGGGCGAGCTGGACCTTACACCGGGAGCTTTGGGTGTTCGCGATGCGGGCGAGCTAGACCTTATATCGGTAGTACTGGGTTTTTCGCGATGCGGGCGAGCTAGACCTTATATCGGCAGCATCGGGTGTTCGCGATGCGGGCGAACTTGGCCCTATACCAGTAGCATCGGGTGTTCGCGATGCGGGCGAGCTAGACCTTATACCCGTAGCACCGGATGTTTCACGAAGCGGGCGAGCTTGAAGTTACACCGACAGCACCGGGTGTTCGCGATGCCGGCGAGCTAGACCCTATACCAGTAGCATCGGGTGATCGCTATGCGGGCGAGCTAGACCTTATACCAGTAGCAACGGGTGTTCGCGATGCGGGCGAGCTAGACCTTATATCGGTAGCACTGGGTGTTTCGCGATGCGGGCGAGCTCGACGTTATACCGGTAGCACCGGGCGTTCGCGATGCGGTCGAACTTGGCCCTATACCAGTAGCATCGGGTGTTCGCGATGCGGGCGAGCTAGACGTTACACCGATGCGGGGTAGCTCGACCTGGAACCGGCATCACCGGGTGTTTGCTAAGCGGGTCACGGAAGCTCGGCTATTTGCGAAGCCGGCCAGCATGATATTATGCCGGTAGCATTCGTCTGTTTAAAGAGGTGTTTCTTATTCCTAAATGTAAAAAAAATACTGCTAATTAATTTTGCTTCCGGGATATGTATTTCCATGAGTGACTTCCCTGGGACACTTTGATTTCTTGGCATGTCAGAGTTATCGCAATAAGCGGTTGCAAACTGCGGTTTCTCTTTGGAAGAGAGTTTTGATTAAAACGCAGATGTAATTACCAAATTTACATACTGGGCAGGGGATCATATATAGTTCATCAATAAAACTATTTCTCTCCATAATTACTAAATCATAATTGTAACATTAATTTATATTAAGTGGAGAAATATACATTTTAGGGAATATTCGAATATAATACGTAGGTTGATCAACCATATCTTCGAGTGTGAAGGAAAGCCCGAAGTGATGCAAGTCTGAGACGTTTACCACTTTGGTGAAACCAATGAGCAGGGGCACGGTGCTGATAAACCTAGAAACATAATCGGGGCGAACCGGGATTCGAACCCACAATCTTAGATTTCTGGTCCAATGGACGCAACTCCGCGCCTCAGACGACTGGACCACACGTGCCCCCGTTAAAAAATTAACCTCATTTAAATCGTTTTTTGTTTTTTTTAAATAAATCCTTTTTATTTTTTCTAGGACTGTATATATCATTAATGTCCCCTGTCATTTATCAATAATGCTTCTCTTTATTTGGATTAGGAGTACAGGTTCTTTCCTTCGTCCTGTCTACGGGTTCGAATCCTAGAATCGCCCAAAGTATGATCCTTGGTCTGCCAGCACCATAACCCTGCTGGAGCCGGCCCCACAATAAACTGACAAGCCGTGAAATAACTGAAGTACTGTTAAACAAAACTCACTCACTCACTCACTCACTCACTCACTCACTCACCTACTCACTCACTCACTCACTCACTCACTCACCTGGGGACACCTGGGGAAAATAAAACGAACAATTAGCTGAGGTCTAGTTTATGTGTATGCCCCAGGCTCCATCTTGACAACTCGGTTAACGCATTGTCGGGGGTCGAAGTGAAATAAATAATATTTCTTTACATATGTATTCAATATTGAACACGTATTTGAAGTAATCCTAAAAAACAAGTCAGTTTGATAAAAGTTGTAAACGCCCAGCGTCACGTGGAGTTCCCCCTCAAGCGTCACGTAGAGACCCCACCCACCCCCACCCACCCCCACCCACCCCCACCCGCCCCCACCCAACACACACACACATTAAGCTGATAAATTTTCATATGCTTGAAACACTGTTTAACGTTCATTCAATCATATGCTTTCCTTCGTATAAATTTTCATGCTGTTTAATTATGTCCTGTTAACACGATAAACGCGATAACTTGTTAATAACAATAATTAAGGGAAAATAGGAAAATAGCTACATGAAACAGGCGTTTCGACGTTGATGACTGATAAACAACTTCGACACTTGGTATGTCTTCAGTAAAAGGGAAGTCGTAGTATCGCAAACATTTCAGCTTGGACTATATTCTGATTTCAACCTACATACGATTCACAACAGATAAACGTCTACCTGTGCCAATACTCTACCGTCTGACATAAAACGTTTAACTGATGGCAGCGGATCCGTGTGTAGAAAAGTTATTTTCGAGTTCCTTTCGAAATGTTCAACGCTGCACGATTCCAGCTATAATACGGCGACCTGGAAATAATCGAGTCTGGACTAAACAAACTATGCGCGATGATCCATATCTTCGGGTACGATGACACACAATCCGCCAAGCCACCGAGCCTGACCAACCGATCCCCATTAGTCAGCTTTTACGACGACAAGCATGGGGAATAATTTTACCGAAATTCTCCACGTGATGAATGCTTTACGAAATTGTGGTATTGATTTATGGAGACGTCAACATGTCTATCAAAAGCAGTACTTGTGTAACGCATGGTCAGTGGTCGAATCTCACTCCCAAAGACAGTGATAAGTTCGAGGGGAGAACACGGCATCATGTTGAAGAGCCATGTATGAGCAATGAGTTTTAGAATAGACCCTCGTTAACGCGACATTTGGAGTATTTGTATGTCCTCGAGTTATCCAGAGTTCGAGACAGATGTGACATGTGACTCTGCTGTAGTGAAGATAAGGGTCATAGGATAAGGATTTGGATAAGAGCAGCTGTGGATGTGTCATTGCTGATCGCACGGGACGCACGTGTGAAGCATCAGCCATAACATTCTGTATCTATGGCTCGCATCCTGCTCATCAGGTTATGACACTGGATGAGGTAAGCCAAAACAATATGTTCAGAAACCTTAATCTTGCCATTTCAGTTATTTTTATCTACAATATCCCTTGAAACATCACCGATGAAAAATTTATTTGGTGAGTCTTAATGTGAAATCCTATCTATGTAATTAAAACATAAAATAAAACGAAAAAGTCAGAAAATAACCAGTCTCGATTATTGTAACACATTCCATTGAGAGGCAAACTACAGTGACAGTTGTATGAACGCATCACTGAAAATCAGTGATGACACAAGGTGTTCAAGAAATGTGTAGATTTGATTTAAACAGTACAATACTGCTTTTCAAATGATTGATGAGGAAGTCATATTATACCATTATGCTACTTGTCTTATGTTCATTAACCATGGTTACACGTAAACGTCACATGTAACAACACCGCACCAATGTCCACACTGAGGAAACCAAGAATGGCACCCGTGAAGTTCCAGGTTAGAATTGGTCTTCATCAACCCATGCTTGTAAGAGTCGACTAACGGGATCGGGTGGTCAGGCTCGCTGACTTGGATGATGCACGTCATGGATTGTCTGATCCAGACTCGACAATATTCAAAACCGACGTCATCTAGCTGTGATATTGCTGAGTGGCATTAAACAAGAATGTATTGAATATTTTGATAACAGACACCAACTACGTCTTATTGTTTGGTTAACCGCAACCCCACGCCCAATGATACTTGCTAACAATTGTTTCGGTGCACACATACATTGATTTTCCGGGATGCATCGTTCATAAATAAAGTCATACAACGCCTTGACCATACTTATAAAATCAGTCAAAGACAAAGAAACTTTCTCAATCCAGTCAGACAACAACGCACAAGTCACACTTATCCAGTTAACATTCAAGTCGCTCTTATCCAGACAGACAAGTCCCACTAAACCAGGCAGGCAATTCCCACTAAACCAGTCAGACAATTCCCACTTAACCAGGCCGACAAGTCCCACTAAACCAGTCAGGCAAGTCCCACTAAACCAGGCAGGCAAGTCCCACTAATCCAGGCCGACAAGTCCCACTAAACCAGTCAGGCAAGTCCCACTAAACCAGGCAGGCAAGTCCCACTAATCCAGGCCGACAAGTCCCACTAAACCAGTTAGACAATTCCCACTAAACCAGGCAGGCAAGTCCCACTAATCCAGGCCGACAAGTCCCACTAAACCAGTCAGGCAAGTCCCACTAAACCAGGCAGGCAAGTCCCACTAATTCAGGCCGACAGGTCCCACTAATCCAGCCCGACAATTCCCACTAAACCAGTCAGACAATTCCCACTAATCCAGGCAGGAAAATTGCACTAATCCAGACAGACAAGTCCCACTAAACCAGTCAGACAATTCCCACTAATCCAGGCAGGCAAGTCCCACTAATCCAGGCCGCCAACAACATATATGTCGCACTAATCCAGTAAGACAACGATGTAACAGTCGAACTAATCCCGTCAGACAAGTCCCACAGCTCGTACATCAGTGTGAACATAACTTAAATAGTCTGTATGCCTTCAGAAGGTTGGGCCGTTTGTTTTCCCACAAGTATTGTATAATAATCGATTAATTCATTTTGGACATTCAGAGTTTTCCTCCCAATCACAATAGATATTGTAAAAGATTTCCACCGCACATTTTTGGGGAATCCGGTCCTCAGTGACCGACTTCAAGCTTCCGCATTGACATCTTACTCGGTAGGTTCAGCCTGTTTTTCATTAAGGAGATAAAGGTGATTCACTCGACTAAGGCGGGGGGCATCAATGTGCAGAGTTGCGTCCATTTGCCTCGAGGATCCAGCGATCATGCCATTTAATCTCAGATACGTACCGAGTATGATCCGTGGTTTGTCAGCACCATATACCCGTGCTCGTTTGTTTCATCATAGAGGTAAATGTATAAGCCAAGGGTCACTTAGGTTTTCCACCCACATCAAGCTGACATTTCACACACTACACACACACTACACACACACACTACTTTCAAAGTGGCATAAAAACACAACTCACGCATTGGTCAGCAAAGTACAAACAATTTGAAAAATTCATACAATTCAACTTTATCAAATAATTGTAATGACGGTTTATTTGCTTTTGTTCAAACAAAGATTAAATATCATTCAAAGATCAGAGTTGCATGCACTTTGAATAATTAAACCATGAATGTGCTATATCCTTGTAGTTATCAGCTCTTTGTATGTTTCCTGTGAGTTAAGGGAAGCGCAGTGCTAAACATTCTTGATTTGAAAAGTATGTACAAAGTAACTGATATTATTTCCCTGTGATATCATAGCGGAGTTTTCAGACTATTTATTCGTATCTACATTTTACGTTAATATGTTATTTCATTTAATACAAGATATCTTTTTCACAATGAATATTTTTTTCTTTGAATATCATCATGTTGTCCTTGGTCCACATGCTATGTAAGTTGTATTGGTTTCAAGTAATATTCTTTAAAATAAAAACAACAAAGCCCTGCCCATAGTCGTAAGTAATCTTCGAGTGCACGGCTCCGACTATATCCTGAGCATGTCAAATAGCGGTATAACCCAAAGTCATTTGTTGGCAATAAACTATTGAAATCACATATTTTGTTGTATACGTGATATAAAGGGTTTACAATGGATTTTTGGTTGGGTTCATTTACTTTGAAAAACCCATAGAAGTTCTTATATTCTGTAGAATACTGTCAATTTCAATAGACTTTTATCTTACGAACTTTATTTTATCGTACATTCCCCTTGCACCGTATATGACTAAGTGTAATGATTCTATACACTCAATAAATCACTTTCGATCATTGATCAATTTTAGCATATCAATACATTTTAAAATGCTTCAATTGCATGCATCATGTGAAAACATTTAATATCCCTCAAATTTATACATTAACTGCTGAAAACGATGTATTTAGTGCCCCTTAAAATTGCACAAAGCATATCACTTTAATTAATTACCAATAATCTGAAAACAGTATTTAAAAAACGGTATTTGGCTTTTCGTGTCAATAACGTATTTATCTCATTGAGGGACCTGACAATATTGATATTAAGATGCAATATTTTTCAGGTAAAGCACATCACTTCAATTAATTACCAATAATCTGAAAACAGTATTTAAAAAACGGTATTTGGCTTTTCGTGTCAATAACGTATTTATCTCATTGAGGGACCTGACAATATTGATATTAAGATGCAATATTTTTCAGGTAAAGCACATCACTTCAATTAATTACCAATAATCTGCAAACAGTATTTAAAAAACGGTATTTGGCTTTTCGTGTCAATAACGTATTTATCTCATTGAGGGACCTGACAATATTGATATTAAGATGCAATATTTTTCAGGTAAAGCACATCACTTCAATTAATTACCAATAATCTGCAAACAGTATTTAAAAAAACGGTATTTGGCTTTTCGTGTCAATAACGTATTTATCTCATTGAGGGGCCTGACAATATTGATATTAAGATGCAATATTTTTCAGGTAAAGCACATCACTTCAATTAATTACCAATAATCTGCAAACAGTATTTTAAAAAACGGTATTTGGCTTTTCGTGTCAATAACGTATTTATCTCATTGAGGGACCTGACAATATTGATATTAAGATGCAATATTTTTCAGGTAAAGCACATCACTTCAATTAATTACCAATAATCTGCAAACAGTATTTTAAAAAACGGTATTTGACTTTTCGTGTCAATAACGTATTTATCTCATTGAGGGACCTGACAATATTGATATTTAGATGCGATATTTTTCAGGTAAAGCACATCACTTCAATTAATTACCAATAATCTGCAAACAGTATTAAAATTTAAAAAAAACGGTATTTGGCTTTTCGTGTCAATAACGTATTTGTCTCATTGAGGGACCTGACAATATTGATATTTAGATGCGATATTTTTCAGGTAAAGCACATCACTTCAATTAATTACCAATAATCTGCAAACAGTATTAAATTTTTTTTAAAAAACGGTATTTGGCTTTTCGTGTCAATAACGTATTTGTCTCATTGAGGGACCTGACAATATTGATATTAAGATGCAATTTTTTTCAGGTAACGAATTAAGATAAATGTGTTAGGCCGTCCGTATTTTTCTTTTAGGTTTCTCATCTCCCGCCCGGCCTGAAATTACATTCCGACGTGAAATAATAATAAGTTTTCTCACCTTAATTTTCCTCGTCCCTGTGAAACATGGTCCGATGTGATAAAAAAGGAGCTCCTATCATTGCGCCTTCGTAAAGAACACATATTTCTTCAGTTATATTTATTAACAATTCGTTTCCGACTATCATCAAGCGCTCTAACTTTTAAAATTACTTAAAATAAGTTACACAAAAGTGAAAAGTTTTCTTGTGTGTGCGGGGCACGGGTGGCCCAGTCGTCTAAGGCGCCGCGATTCGCTGTGCAGAGTTGCGTCCCTTGGGCACGCCAGAAACCTATGATTGTGGGTTCGAATCCCGGTTCGCCCCAATTATGTTTCTAGGTTTGTCAGCACCATACCCGTGTTTGTGGGTTTCACCGAAGTGGTAAACGTCTAAGACCTGCATCACTTCGGGCTTTCCTCCCACATTAAGCTGACACGCCGTGATATAACTGGAATAATGTTAAAAGCGGCGTTAAACCCAACTCAGTCAGTCAGTCTTGTGTGTGTTTTGTTTCACTCGTTCGCTCTCTTTCTCGTGGAGGTTGGAGATGAGAAGTACATACAAATCAATATGGATGCCATTGGCCTTATGTGACAAAAAGGGCCAAACAGTCAATTTCAGAATGATCTTCATGATCGTACTTTGAAAACCATTGTGTCATTGAAAGTAGTTATGGCAAAAGTGTTATTTCATTCGTGTGAGATATCGGCTTTATGTTTGCAGATACATATGCATGTAGTATTTCATCACTAAAAACACAATAAATTAAATATACCCGCACATAAACGTAGTTAGACAAACCTGCCCACAAACGGAGCTAAATGCAGTCTTTCATTTTATCG